GGATTTAAAGTTTTCACCCAATGGATCACCCTAACTGTAATGACTTCAATTAGAGCATCCAAACTTCTTTCTTTGCCTTCAAACAGCCTTTGATTTCTCTGTTCCCAAATAGTCCAAAAAACTGCAGCCTTTAAACATCTCCATAATGTTTTTCCCCTCTTCTTTTTCCAGCTAACAAAGGTAGGGTCAAACAGACTTTGAACATTTGGCAGGGGGATCCACCTCCACCCAAATAAGGAAGAAGACCATTCCCAAATTGACAGTGTAAGGGGACAGGATATCAGTAGGTGATGAGTACACTCACCATTAACCTTACAAGCAGCAACTAGGTCTTTTCCTTTGAAGAAGCTCATAAGTACTAATTCTATCCCAAAAATCTTCCTAGCAGAAGCCCCAAATCTTATGCGGAATAGGCTTACTCCAGATTTCTTTCGTCGGAAACAGATGGCCCCCAAAGTCACTAGGATAGTAGGATTCAATAAAGATAAAAAGAAAGAGGAACAAGATGCCCAATGGAGAGAGAGTCCAGACCCGAGAGTCAATGCGAGAGGGATCTAAATAAACATTCTCAAGGTTTTGAATCAACTTCAATGCTCTATCAACCTCACAGTCATGGAGATCTCTTCTAAGGCCCACCCAAAACCGGAGGTAGAATTAGAAGGAGACAAAAAGGAAGCGATAGGTTCACCCCTACAATTAGAGATAGCATAAACGGAAGGGTATAGCTCTTTGAGGGAGGTGTTATCCAACCAAATATGCTCCCAAAATTTGATAGAATTACTAGAGCAAGGGTTATACCTGATGTGGTCGGGGAATAAAGACAAGATAGCATGGATAGACTTCCAACGAGAAGCTCTTGTTGCCCTAGCCAGCACGCCAGCATCCCAACCATCAGCCGCAAGCCCGTGAATACTGACTATCACCTTAGCCCACGCCTTGTCCTTCTCAATAGGCAATCTCCATAACCACTTAGCCAACAGAGCCCTAATTCCTTCCTGAATATTCCCCAAACCAAGCCCACCAAACCTCTTGCTTCTTCTGACAATATCCCAGCAAACTCTATGATCTTTCTTTTCTTCCCCTGGCTTCCATAAAAAATCTCTCATCAACTTTTCAAGCTTCTTGCTGATCTCAACAAGAATTCTGAAAACTGACATGAAATAAATCGGCAAGTTAGCAAGGGTGGACTTAATGAGGGTGGTCCTACCCCCCAAGAAGAAATAGCTCTTCTTCCAAGAAGCTAGATGCTTAGTGAACTTCTCAACCACTGGGTTCCAGAAGTTATACCCCTTTGCATTATCCCCTAAAGGCAAGCCCAAGTAGCTCATAGGCAAGTAATCCACCTTACAACCCAACAAATCAGCTCATTCAGACACTTGGTTATCCTCCATGTTCAAACCCACAAGACAACCCTTATCCCAATTCACTTACAAATTCGACATTTTCTTAAATAAGATGACAATCCACTTTAAGCTTCTCACATATCTCCTATCACTCCCATCACTAAACAAAATTGTGTCATCCACAAACTGAAGATGAGTGACAGGGATCTCCTCTGTACCAATTCTCCAACCTTTCATTAGACCTTTGTCATTAGCCCTCGTAATCAGTCTCCCAAGCACATCCGCAATCAAAGTGAAAAGAAAGGGGGATAAGGGGTCACCCTGTTTAATTCCCCTAATAGCTAGAAAGTGATCCACTACAGCTCCATTAACCAAAATTGAATAATGACAAGACTTTAAACAACCTGAAATCCATCTACACCACCTATCACCAAAACCAAAGTTCTTCATTCCTTCCAACAAAAAACCCCAATCAACCAGGTCATAAGCCTTCTCCAGGTCCAACTTGTAAACCAACCCCTTCCTTCCTTATGTCCCCAGCACATTCATTAGCAATTAAGATTTGACCAACAATCTGCTTATCCTGAACAAAGGCTCCTTGTATTGGAGAAATCAAAGAAGGAAGCACAACCCTAATTGTCCTGGATAACACCTTAGCAATGATTTTATACAGGCTATTGATTAGACTGATAGACCTAAAGTCCTTCGGATGCAACGCTTCAGACTTCTTGGGGATGAGGGTAATAAAGGTGAAGTTAAGCCCCAGATTGATAATGCCTCTCCCAAAAAATTCATTAAACACCTTCTGCGAGTCATCCTTTAAAATTTCCCAGCAGTCTTGATAAAAAGCCATCATAAAACCATCAAGACCTAGGGCTTTGGATCTATCCATAGCAAACACAGCCTCTTTTAAAGAACATTTCTTTTAACCTAAGTGGTATCTACCTATCACATAAAACTCTAGATGCATCCCTCCATTTTACCCATCCTACTCTAATTCTATGAGCGATATCCTCCTCAATCTCTCTCTTGTTCGGAATTATTGAACCAAGGTACTGAAAAATGTCACATTTAGTTATTTCTTGGTTTCCAATACTAAGTGTACCCTCATTTTCCCAAACAGATGGTATAAGGAAATATTAATCGAGTGCATTACAGTTAGAAAGGTTCATTGGGTAAAGCCTTTGGAGGCTTTCACACTTTTTTCAACAGAAGACATAATAAGGAATTGGGGAATAGTAGTTGGTTCTTCCTTCAAGAAGCCCATGGTCCAAAAGGAATGAAAACCACCAAAGGAAGGCTTTATTAAACTTAACTTTGATGGGTGCAGCCTAGAAAACCTGGGACCATCAAGTCTAAAGACTAAGTCTAAAGTTTGGTGGGGTATGCTAAAGATTTTTAAAGAAAGTGGATCTTTAGGAAATTTCAAAAAAGGCCCTAAGAAGTTGGGGGCCTCAACCAAAAGGAATAGGGCTGGTAAACAATTGAAGATGTCAAGAGAGAAGCCTAGAAAATTTTCAAGGACTCATCCAAAGACTGTCAAGCTGGTGGAAGGTGGAAGTGATGAGCAATCGTCAAATGATCGTATTGTGGGAGATTCTGCAGGGGAAGGTGATGGTGAAGGATCGAATGAAAAGTCAAATGAGGAGGTCCGGAAAGTTTCAAGTGAAGCAAATTTGAATGTTGATTGATTTTCAGATGAACCCGAGGTTGGCTTTATGGCTCTCATGACCTTGTATCCTAAAGCAACATTGACTTCTTCTCAAGCAGTGGTGCCACAAGTTTTGGAAGCATCTAATGACATTTATGAGCCTGGTCATATTGGTGTTGAGGAGGATTGTGTGATTTCTCAAAGAAGTTAGAAAAAAAAATCGATAGTTGAAGAAGTGATGTGGGTAAGATTGGAGTTGATTTGGGTAGAAATAAGGTTTATCCAGTTCCCATGGTCTTAGATGGAGTAGTGGATGCAAAGAAACTTAGGGGTGCTAGTAAATCCCATCTGGTGCATGCTACGAAGGGCTTGATCAGAACTGGTCCTTGCAGTAACATAAAAGGGTGTATAGAAGAAGAGGAGCAAGCAAGAAAGTCATTAACCAGAAGATTCTTGGTGGGGATGGTGTTGACAATCTGAATGTTTCTGTGGTGAGTATACACAAAGCAGAGTTTGAGAGGTTGGGAGAATTCAAGAAAAAAAGAAAAAAGATAAGGAGGATTGCGAAGTCTCAAAGAGAGATGACAATCTAATTGCAGTCCCAGAGGTAGACTCTGAAGGCAGCCTGGATGCGAAGAGGCTTGCAGATAGAGATGTTGAGGTTGGTAAAGCTTTGGGGTTATTTTTCTTTGGTAGAGAAGCAATTTCTAGAAAAGCTTTTAAATAATTCAAGAAAAGAAGCAAGGAGAGGTGCCAGAAGGGATTTTGAGGAATTCGAAAGAAAAAGAAAGTAATAGAAGTTGAAGAAAACCTGTTGGGAAGGAAACAAATCATGGGATGAGGACTTTTCAACCCAAGAAGATTCACTCACAGATGAAGACTGAAGACTTGGTTGGGCTGCGAGGAGGGGTTTCTGCTTTTGGCCAGCTGTTGGGTTGGTGGTCTATGTATTATTGGGTTTATTTGGGGCTTTGCCTTGATCTTTGCTTGGAATGGGTGGGGTAACCTCATGTTTGTAAATTGTGAGGTTAGCGGGTCTTTTTTTTTTTTTTTGATCAATAACAGCAGTTAGAGGGTCTTTTTGGGGGCCTTGTGGCTGTTCTTCTCCTGGTGATGCCTTATCACCTTTCTGATGTATTTATTCTTTTTTCTTTAAAAAAAATAATTTATCCTTCAAAAAAAAAAGGAAGGGAAATGTGGGTCAAGGGAGAAGGTTTGGAAGAGGATCTTGAGGAATAATTTTGTTTTTGAGTCTATTGGAGTTGTCTTTTGTAGTGTTGTTGAGTATTGTTGTTTCACCCTGTTTGCGCTTTCATGTAGGTTGATGGAGTGTTGATTTTGATGTTGGGATTTTCCTTTTCTCTCTCGGGTGATTCCTAATCACCTCCCCCTTGTAATTTCTTTTTTATTTTCAACAAATTCTAATTTAGTATGAAAAAAGAAAAACCTAAGACAACCAGGAATCAAAGGAGTAATTAGAGATGAGACGGGCCAAGTAATGGAAGGACCTCATTGGTGTTGGTGAGTCCCTAATAGCAGAGTTAATGGCTGTGTTGCAAGTAGTACAGTATGCTAGTGAAATAAATTTTAGCAAGCTGCTCATTGAAGGGAACTTACAGATGGTAAGGGCATGTCTGCTGAATAGTGAGAGAGCCTTGTATTCCTATAGGCATGTGGTCTATAAAAAAAAATGAAACTAAAAGGGGATTTTGCTCCAAGCAGAAGCAAGTTGCCCCCAGATTTATCAATATACATCTCATGTAAACTAACTTCAACTGAATTGGGCAAAACTGAGATAGAACATATGCCAATTGTCATGGCATGTGTCTTTAGAAATAAGCATGACCTAAAATATATAGGACAGAGATGAATATAAAAGAACATAGTAGAAAACTCTACCGATAAAAAAATGTAGAAAACACTACTAACATGATTATAACAGTACAATCTGATTAAAAAGAACTTCATGTTGCACAATAGGTGCAACTCAAGGAGCTAAAGCATACTTGTCAAGGCTTCCAAGGTACTTGTTATATATGAAAAAATGAAGCTGGCCACCTGAAGAGCTTGTGAGTGCCTCAAAAAGATTGTGCACTGTAATTATATCCGCTACAGCAGCACAAGCAGGAGCAATTCGTGCAAAAGCCTCTGGTCCGACAGTTTTTTTGTCATCAACCTGGTCCAGAAACCAAAGAAAAGAAAACAAAAAGAATGAGAAACTACACAGATGATAATAACTTCAAGAGACCAATGGTTTATTAAGCTACACTACAGTAACTTTGATAATATCTTGTGAAGAAAAATAACCAGCACTTATTTCTTCCTTTAATCAGAAAATACAGGAAGAAAGATAAAAGTACAAGAGCAGGAGAGGAAGAAAAGAGAAGAAAAGAGAAGAGAAACAAAGGAGAAGGAGAGGAGAAAATCGAACTCTCACCAGCCCCAAACTTTTATTAATTGTGTTAAAAAGTTGATTATGTATGTGTTATGTCAGTATTAGTACCATAGGGGTACTATTGTAATTTCCTGATTATATTATGATCGCCCTAATATAAATATGAGAGTTGGTGCCGCCAGCTTGACCTTTTTGTCTCTCAACTCTCTTCTCTCCTCTCTCTTCCCTCTTCTCTCTTCAGTCTCTATCTTCTCCGTTTAATATGGTATCAGAGTGAAAGGGAGATTGATCAAGTTTTTTCTTCCTCAACTGCTCTTTTATTTTTTTTTTTTTTTGGAGAACCCAGAGAACAGCACTGGACTGATCTGAGAAGCTTTTTTCTTCCTTTTTTTCTTTATTTCTTGGTTGTGTACCAAGACAGAACCTGTAACAGGTTCGACTGACTGATGTGAGGTGATCAGCACCTGTAGTTTCCCCTCTGTGTGGATCATGTGATCCTTGTGATATGTTTGTAGGTCGATGATGACCTGTGTGTGCTGTAACAGAAACCTTGTGATGAGATTGTAGGTCTATGATGACCTGTGTGTACTGCAACAGCAGTAGGATAATATCTGAATGTTTGTAGGGCTTCGTTGGGTCCAAAAGTTTGGAGTTTCTCAGTTTCTTGGTGCAGTTTTTTATTACTCCCAGCAGTAGTACATTGTGAGAAAGGGAGATAGTGTGGACTGTGAAAATATAATAATAATAATAAATCTGTTGTAGTGTTGGACTGCTCTGCCCTTTAGTCTTGTGGCTATTTAGGAGTGATCTGAAGCAGCCATCATGAGTATTGAACACTCTGCCACATCTGGCATTTCCTCAATGCAGAATGGGATGAGTGGGGGTATAGATTTATCCTTCCCTATCGCTGTTATACCTCTGGATGGACTTAATTATCTAGAATGGTCAAAGGGGATCAGACTGTACATTACTGCAAAAGGAAAATAGGGTACATAAATGGGAAAATTAAAGAACCCAATTCCAGGAATGCAGAACATGACAGGTGGAACCAAGAAAACAGCAAGGTAATGTCATGGCTCCTAGTGTCTATGCAACCTCAAGTGAGAAGAAATTTTATGTGGGCTGAAATGGTTTATGAGATCTAGGAACAAGCAAAGTCAACATACTCTGAACTGCGTCACTATGCAAAGATTTACCAGTTACAAGCAGAGTCATCCACTTGTAAACAGCGGGAGAGAAGCCTCTCCATGTACTACTCGGACTTGACTTCCATCTAAAAGGACTTGGACCATTACGGCATTACTAGAATGTGAACTAGAAGTGTGATGAAGATGCAAAAGCTTACAAGGCACTTGTTTCACAGCAGAAAGTTTTTGCCTTCCTTATAGGTTTAAATCCTATTTATGAATCCATTAGGGTACAAATCCTAAGAAGCAAGGATCTCCCATCTGTCCAAGAGGAATATGCCCTAATACAGTCAGAGGAAAGCGAAAGAAACTTGATGAATAGTTCTGAAGAGGATTCAGTTGCTTTGGCAGCAAAAGGGAATATTGTTACAGGTAGGGGAAATTCCTTTAAGAAGGAAGACTCTCAAAAAAGGGTGGACGATAAGGACAAACTATGGTGTATTCATTGGCAGAAGCCTTGGCACACACGTGATACTTGCTGGGAAACTTCATGGGAAGCCAAAGTGGGCTCAGGAGTTGAGCAAGAAATAGAGTTCATATCAGAATAAGAAGCAAGGACAACAAGGTCCAAGGAAGTCCAATGCAGCAAACATGGCCTCTCAGGAGACTCAATCCTCTACTACTACTGTGACTCTGACGCACCCCTCTGGTTTTGATCCTCAATTCGTCTGATGGGCTCTGCCCCTTCTCCCTCGACCTCATTTGCATCTACATTAGGTAACTCTGCCACAGCTTTCCATATCTCTTCTCATTCCCCTGACTCTCCTTGGATAATTGATTTTGGAGCATCAGACCATATGACTGGTAAGTCAAGTTATTTTCAGTCTTATCATCTCCTCTTTGGGAGGGATAAAGTGACACTAGCCAATGGCTCATTCTCCACCATTGCTGGTCAAGGAACCATATCCCTTCCCTTTGGCCTTAATCTTTCTAATGTTTTGCATGTTCCAAAATTACCCATAAATTTGTTTTCGATCAGTAGTACACCCTATATCAAATCTGAAGAGCAACTTGCAGATATATTCACAAAGGACTTACATCACTCGCGACATAATGATTTATGTGACAAGTTGGGCATGATTGACCTCTATGTCCCAACTTGAGGGTGAGTGTTAAAAGGTTGTTTATGTATGTGTTATGTCAGTATTAGTACCATAAGGTACTATTGCATTTCCTAATTATATTATGATCGCCTTAATATAAATATGAGAGTTGGCGCCATCATCTTGACTTTTTTGGCTCTCAACTCTCTTCTCTCCTCTCTCCTCTCTCTTCCCTCTTCTCTCTTCTTCCTTCTCTCTTCAGCCTCTATCTTCTTTGTTTAATAAATTTGATCAAAAGAAATTTAGAGATAATTACATAGATACCCTTGTATAGGGCGGATGTTTATAAACTTAGATACAAATGGTTAACAAGCCCATGAGATAAAGGCCCATTAACACAAAAATAAAAATAAAAAATATAAGACTAAACTAAACTAAGGCCCATCCGGCCCAATATCTCTACACTCCCCCTCAAGTTGAGCATAGATGTCAATCATGCCCAACTTGCATACATATTGCTACAATTTAGCTTTAGGAACTCACTTGGTAAGTACATAAGCCAGTTGCTYTTCAGATGCAATAAAGGGTAGGCAAACCTCTCCCAATTCCTCTCTCTCTCTCTTTAATGAAATGCCTGTCCACCTCAATATGCTTTGTTTGATCATGTTGGATAGGATTATGTGCTACATTAATGGCCGCTTAATTGTCACAATACAACATCAAGGGTTCACCCATCTCCTCCATCAGAGACTGTAACCATAAAAGCTCAGATACACCATGTGCCATGGCTCTCTATTCTGCCTCAGCTAAAGACCTAGCTACCACTAACTACTTCTTGCTCTTCCAAGAAACCAAATTTCCAGCAACCATAGTACAATACCCAGATGTAGACCTCCTATCATCAATACATCCTACCTAGTCTACATCTATGTATGCTTCCAGTTTCCTGTAACCATGCTTTCCAAAAAGGATACCTTTTCCTAGCATACCCTTCAAGTAACTCAAAATTCTCTCTGTTGCAGCCATATGTGTATCTCTGGGGGCATGCATAAACTAGCTAATGACACTAACAACATAAGAAATGTCAGGGTGAGTCATGCATAGGTACAACAACTACCCAAGCAACCTCTAGAACACTCCCCTATCCTCAAGTAACTCTTCATCAGAAGCAAAGAGCTTTCTGATCAATCAGTGTGATAGCAGGTTTGACCCCAAGTTTGCTTATTTCAATAAGCAAGTCAAGTAAGTACTTACATTAGGAGATTGAAGATGCCATCTTTGGACCTAGCAACTTCAATCCCCAAGAAGTATCTCAATTCTCCCAAATCTTTAGTTTCAAATTCAGCATTAATATCTTGTCCCTTTTCTGCAGACCTTTGGGCTTGGCTACTTTCGTTGTTTGGGGGTAGTTGGAGTCTACCAGCAGAAGTTCACATGCTCTTCAACCATTCTACCTTTTATTGGCCTACAAAAACAGGGAGAATTATGTGGAGATGTGCTCGTTCT